CCAACAAACATAACATTCAGAAGACAATATCTGAAAAAAATAGTAAATACTCAGAGCTCAAAGATGAAGTAACTAGAATATGGCGTCAACAAAAAGTTTACGTGGTTCCTATAGTCCTCTCCACAACAGGCGTCATTCCAAATCACCTTCTCCATAGCCTTAAATTAATAAATCTAAAAGAAACCCTCTTTATCACCCTCCAAAAAGCTGCAATTTTAAATACATGTCGCATTGTTAGAAAGTTCTTGCAAATAGATGAAAACGAAATAGGTTCTCATCACAATAGTACAACATAACCTAACACAACACATGCTGCACTTACTTGGTTTCGGCTCGTAATTGTAGTAAAAACCAGCCAAAGAGCTGAGAAGAAAAACACTCAACAAATAATAATAACTGTTTTATTGCCTCCAAATTATGATACACTTATTAAAACGTATTACCCAAAGGAAAAACAAAATTACAAGTATGTATCTTAATATAACATTAAGTGGAGGCAAGAGGACGAGGCTCAGCGTAAGCGGAGCCAAGGTATGCCCTGGGGCCCAATTCTCGCGGCATAGATATTATATCACCTTCGATATATATCGAATGATCTGGCTTTTATCGAAGGAAAACCTTTTTGCCCTATTCTCACCATGTCGCAATAGATATTTATCTACGGATGATCAGTAGACATACATCGACTGGTAAAGAGCCTTCGATATATAAATATCTATGGATCTTGGCATGTCAATCTTGTTATTTCCACTTTTTTACCTATTATTTATTGTGTTGTCGTGTGTCTGCCAATTATTGTTACCTCAAGATGTTGTTAACTGCCTTCATAAATAATTAGTAAATAAAGAAGTAGGTAAACAATGGTGTCGATTCTGGTGTGATTCTCTAAACTTAAAACTAAATTTAACATCAGTCTCTCTTTTTCATTCTGTATAGGGAATGACAAGGAAACACTGTTGTTAAGTTTAGATTTAGAGAATCGACACCAGTTTATATTAACGATGGATGAGTTGATTCATGTTTTCGTCAATGATTTAATAAATGACGTGATTGCTGCTGCTGTGCTAAGGCGCCGCCGTTGTAAGAGCAAGAGGGCCCATTTGAAATGAGGGACGCCGACTTCATAAAAAAATTACGTTGAAACAAAAATTTGGTTAGAAATCTATAAAGTTATGAATGCCAATTTTCTTATTGACGATACGGAGTTTTTGGCGGGATTTCTGAGAGTGCGGTTGGCATCTTATTTTAATTATTCTAAAATTCGTTCATAGTGGATATTGTGAAATAAAATTGGTATGATTTGGTGTTACAACCGTCTGCGCAACTGAAGAATTAGTGGAATCTTTAAAATATACGCTATTCCGGTCAAGTGGACGTGAGAACTTTATTGTAGTGTTGACTACCTCACAGAAGCTTAGAGATAAAGCCAACATTTTAAGGGCATTGAAGTATGAAAAGAGTTTTTTATACCATCTTTTAAACGTCCATGTATAAAGGCGAAATTTTGTTAGTTAGATGTTTGTTACTTGTATTGTTGTTCTTCACGTCTAAACGGCTGGAGCGATTTTAATAAAATTTGGTATGAAGTTAGCTGACACCCTGGATTAACACACAGGCTACGTTTTACTGCGGGAAAATATCCCTTATAAACCTCGGGTAACACCGCGGGGCAGAGCTACTGAACTTACTCGTATATGTCTAAAAGATAAGCGTGGCGCTTAGGGTCTGTTCAAGTATTACGTAAGCACTATGGGGAGGCAGGGGGGTCTTTGCTTTGCTTATTTTTGATGACATGGGGGGTGGGGGATAGAGATGGTGATTACGTCAGCATCATCGATTAAGACTTTTTTAGTACTGCTGCTCATGAAGCTCATGAATCAATAAAAAACAGAATACATTAAAGGAAAAATGCATATAGGTACCAATGTTTACGTAAGGATGGGGGGAGGGGTAAGAGCTTTGCTTACTTTTGCTGACAAGGGGGAGGACGGGGTAAATAATTGTAATAAATCTGCTTACGTAATACTTGAACGGCCCCTTATCTTTAATCAGGTGCTGAGGTAATATGATAATACAAAATTATTGTTACTAATAAAAAATGTCTAAACAGTTGTTTAACTTATAAATAGTTGCACATCTGTTACGCATGGTAAAAAAAACACAATGGCAATATTTGTACGTTACGCTCAGAAACCATAGTGTCAATATTTTTGTAATGTATTTATTGAACTGCAAATAAAGACATCAAATTAAAAACATGACATTATTAATGCAAAAAAAAAATGGTTTTATTTATATTTTTGACTATTGGGGATATAACTTTATGATATCCATTATATACACACATCAAAAAAAGTTTGAGATCACTTGCAAAAGTTGATATATTTTCTCAAGAGAAAATCAAGAGGTCAAGAGAAAATGTTTACGTTATATCTTTTTTTTTTTAAAACATACACTTTGTAAAATTAAAAAATAAAACTTATTTAATTTTTTTATTAAAAAATAAAACTTATTTTATTTTTTAGTATAAAAAATGTTATAATTAAATCCTAAGGCGAATGTAATAGAACTTTGATAGAAATAAATAAAAAGATAGTTTAACCAAACTTAAAAACCTTTTAATAATAAATTGTTGTTTATCTAATACAAAATAACTCCTCTAGCTCGAACACATGCGGAGATCCTCCTGGGCATGCTGAGGATCAAGTTATCCAGCATTTCTTGTGGTAACCTGTCTCATTCTTGAACAGCAGCTTCCCAGAGCTGCGTCACCGTCTGGGATGGTAGCTGCCGGTTCCAAACAGCTTGCTTATGAGCATCCCACGCGTGCTCTATTGGGTTTAAGTCAGGAGAGCCGGCAGGCCAGTCTAACCTTGTGATTTCGTATTCTCGGAGAGCAGCATAGTTAGAAAGGGATGTCGCTATATATAGCACATAGCGATATCCTTTCTAACTGTACTCAAGTAAAGATCAACACTTAGTTGTCATTCTGTAATACGGGCCTAAAATTAATGTCAAGCTGAGCATAACCTGAAGTTAAAGACATGACTGAGACTCACGCCTGGCCACAGGAAGACCATAAATTGGAATGCAAAAAATTAAATTTGAAAAATTTGTAGGTACAGAACAATTAGCACAATAAATTATGTATTCTAATTAAAATATCTTTCAATTAAACAACCTTCTAGCTACTTGTCCACACGAGTTTTGTTGCATTTGGTTTCATACTGGTTAAAGTTGGTCACCCCTAGAGTCTTGCCTAATATCGTTTTTTATTAAGTTAAAGATTTTTCGTAAATAATCTTTTGTGAAACCTATAATTATATTTCAAATTACAGATAAAAATGCTTGGGTTTGAACTGTTCCAATCATTCCAACAGGTTTTCTGTATTAAATAAATCATAATTGTATTGACGTTGTAACAACATAATGATTTGTATTTTCTCCACAGCTAAAAAATATGTCCATAACGAGTGGTAGGGAAAAAAATTTTGGACGATTCAAAAGAGTTGATAATAACTATACATCCAATTTGAATAAAGATATATTGATATTGAAATCGTTTTCATTTAAGAGAAAGTACCAACGACTTATACTTTTCGTTTTCTATCTACCTATATCTATAAATTTAAGTTATTTAGGTAATCTATTTATAACGAGAAAAATAACAAAACCCATGTTTTTGTTATTTTTTCGTATAATGGATAGCATATACTTACTAAGTTCTTCTATTATGAATATCGAATAAAGAAAGCCTTTCTTTTCAGTTTTAATTTAAAGTAATTTTGAAGCATTCGGGTTTTTTGATTTTATAAATTTACCTTTTTTACTTCAAACCTTTTAGTTAAGATTATGACAGCAAATACCACAGTCTTGTCATTTTATTGAGGGAGTTAATATCGCATCGATTATTGTAACTTGCAGTGGTCTAAACGACAGATTTATTAATCCATATAGAGACCTTACCACCGGTCAAGGCTACATATGGGCGTCAACTTAAAGCGATAGCATATACTTACTAAGTTGAATAACGAGAAAAATAAAAAAATAGTAGTCCATAAAGTCGGGTTTTAATCTAAAGTTACGTATCGTTCGCTATTTTCCTCAACATACACAATAGTTATACCAACTAGGGTACCCGAGTGATTTAGCGATGTGTAACTATTGTTCTACAGTAAAACACATGTATGGAGAGAGTCCTTGGGCCAAATAAAGTTTTTATTGGTAACCCGATGGCTTGCAACACGTGTATAACAAAAATATACGCAACCATTTGATTACCTATATTAGTAAGGCTGTAATTAAATATATTGCAAAGTGATAAGATAAAGTCCCAAAATCCAAGTGATTAAGTCATAAATAGAGGTAATCTTATCTTGACCACAGACGAAATCAACGGAAATACACCACAATAATATGTTATATGGATACTAATAACAAAAAAAACTATAGTTATTTATAAAACGTTATGGCCTGTATCAGTTTGACCTTGACGTAAGCGCAGTGGCGGCGCTAGACCACATGTGGACGTCGGCGACATCAAGTTCGCGAGGCCTATTTTACTTCGCAGTAAAAAACCGTTAAATTAAGTGAGCCAAATTATAAAATAACGTAGGAATAAACGAGTTTTATTGTTGATTCATAGAGTTGCCAGACAGACGATTCTGAATACCCGTAAAGTACTACTTGCTTCCATCACGAACGTGTTCGAAATTAATAAAAATCACTATCATCTGCTTAGCTTTTTCCCCGAATTGTTCGGGGTCGGCTAACTAAGGCAGTCCCGGAGAAACGAAAATAAATAGGTAACTTGTAAATTTTTTTTGCGAAGCCCCCTCAGGCGCGAGGCCGTCGGCGGTGGCCGACGTCGCCGACGCCTAGCGCCGCCACTGCGTATGCGATACTATAGAGATACAGCCTGTGAATCACAGAACGTATCTCGATGATATCGCGTACGTCAATGAAGAATAGATAACAAGCGTAGAAGCGACATCACTTACCGTGAATAATTAGCAGCACCGTACACCACAGGTATGGCATAATGGTTAAGGGCCGTCAGCAACTTCTCTGTCACATAATCCTCGGCAAAAGAGTTCTCGAACGATAAATAGAAGTAGTAGTCGTCTTCCACTAACTTATAACAGTCTTCCTCTTTGTCACGGGGGCACTTTAGTTTTTCACAATTACCGTACACATCCACAGTCAAATTGTAATTCAAAACCTTAGATTCATTCTCCATTAGTTTATAAAACATCTCCCTTTTACTCAATGTATTACAGTTGGAAACAAACCAAGCTGCGAATTTGGATTTACCGTCCAATTTCCTCTTTAACTCGTCACCTATAGGCGCCAACGTCGGCCATTGCATATCTTTCTTTGGCCCAACCAGTCGCCCGTCCAAGTCATATATCTTTATGTATCCCCATCTAAAGTCCGAGTTTATTTTATAAGTCCAAGTCCAATTGAAATAATTGTCGTACACGCTATCGCACACTGGATAATAATCCGCCGATTCAGTAGCAGCGAAGATGTATTTTTGATGCTCTGCTCTCTGATTCGGGAGTTCGATTCGCTTCGTCAGCTCTTTCCCACTAATCGCTATCGCGTCGAAGTCTGTGAGGTGCGGCAAGAAGTTTTTGTCAGCTGTTACAAAGCAGTTTGTGTACGCGCAGTTCTTAGAATGGAACCCTGCGGAGCCTTCTTTTATTAGGTTAAAGGGCGAAAATCGTGGAGTCCATTGGAGAATGTACTTGACGGAGAGTAGACGAGTCTGCGGTGCGGCCGGAGTGAACGCTGACATCGATATGTACACAAACCAAACGGCCGCTATGGCCGCAGAGCAGAACACGACTAAGCGAAAGCGATGGTTCATTTCGGTCGTTGGTGATAAACTGGCGGGCGTCCTTTGCTCAAATGCCAATGGAATGGCCACTCCATCGTTGACTGTGCTATCTAATCTTTGAGTTTCCATCGGTGATAAAGGGATTATTTTTTCCGCGACTGCTCTGCACCAGGATGGTTAGTTATTACCTGGTCTATCACGTCGTGTTTGCGAGCGTGCTGTTGATGATCTTATCTGCTACATAACACTTATAATATTACGTTACAGAGTAACGCCGGCCGTGGCGGGGTCGCCGCGCCTCGACGTAATTTATAAAATGTTCTGTGTTTTGTTTCCAGCTGAGCGCGGCGCACGCGCACGTCGCGTCCCGCGTATTCACTGAGCACTTGACCTAAAAAAGTGAAAGTCTACTGGGTAAACATGCGTAGTCGAGCAACGTGGTATTGCTATCTACTTTGTGGTAGTATCAACTCGTTAACAGGTATTTTACGCATGCTCGATTGCGTGTTGCGTAAAACACAAAAATCTGTTATCTAATTTTAATAGCAGTATTAGATTTCGCGATAGTGTGATGTAGATGAGCTGGTGATGTCATCATGTCAACCACATGTGTATAATATAAAGTGTGTTTGCTTTGGTTGTTAAATGATGGAACTAGTGCTAGTATTATTGAATTAAAAGTAGCATTATTTGTTGTAAGGGACCGAGTGAGAAGGAGGATTTTGTTTCTCAAGTGTATAAGTATGTACTTACCTAAATAGATTCCTTTGGTGCGTTCTATAACCTAAACGGCTTGACTTTTGAAGACTGAGTTGTATAAAGGATTCTTTTAACAGAGGCCCAAGCATGAACTTTGACAGAACTGTGATGGTATCGTTATCGCTAGCAGTTTTTTTGTTTTGAATAATCAAGATGGCGCTGCGGTTCAAGTTGTCATTTTTAAGTGGTTTTTTAATTTCTTCTATTATGAATATCGAATAAAGAAAGCCTTTCTTTTCAGTTTTAATTTAAAGTAATTTTGAAGCATTCGGGTTGTTCGATTTTATAAATTTACCTTTTTTAATTCAAACTTTTTATTTAAGATTATGACGGTAAATACCACAGTTTTGTCATTTTATTGAGGGAGTTATAAATATGGCGTCGATTATTAAGTAACTTGCAGTGGTCTAAACGAAAGATTTATTAATCCATATAGAGGCCTTACCAGCGGTCAAGGCTACATATGGGCGTCAACTTTCGTAAAGATATGTGAAAGATTTAGATAGAAGATACCCCAAAAATAATAATATTATCAGATAGGTATAAGAAATTTAGGCAACACTTTAAGTGTATTACGTTTCTATTTTTTTTAGTTACAATGAATCACATTGGGTTTATGTAATAAATAAGAAAAGATAGAACAATAGTTTTTATTTGAAAATCACATTTAATGTTTATTTACAAACTTTTGTTGTTTTTCTTACAATAGTCAGTAAAAAAACTAGATATACAGCAACATGATTGAATACTTACAGGCTACCTTGAATGAAAAAAGAAATCGTAAGCATAATGTAATTTATAATTATAACACTTTTTAATACTTAGTCGATTTTCTCTTATCTATAGAGGAGGGCATCCCTCACAATTATAAGCTAAACAGTTTCAACAATTTATATAGTTTATTTAGGCTTTTATAAGCACATGTGAGCGTCAAAGCTACGCCATCGACTCGCACATCCTTGTACTGAGAAGAACCGGCAAGAAACTCAGCGAGGGCTGCTTTTTTCTTCCTGTTTTATTTCATACAGTGTCGTCAAATTGAAAGCTGACATCAAACTTTGCAAACATGTATTGAGGTCAACTTCCATCACATAATGTCAAATAGGTAAGGGGCCGTCCATTAATCACGTGATGGTTTTTATTATCTAACTTTATTATGGAAAATTAAAGACTGCAATAATAACGTTTAGAGGTAGACAGAAAAGTTGCAGGTTGTTTTTGACTGACATACGAGTAAGTATAATGAAAGAAACCGATTTTTTTTGTACTTACACATGAACCATATTTAATGTATAATGCGATTCAACTAAGAATAGGACCGACTGGGCGCCATATTGTGATGTCATAGCTGTCAATTCAAACCAAATAGGTAGTGTCCTAGTGTGTAATATTTAATATGGTGTGCACAATAAAGTGTTATCTATCTATCTATCTATCATTACCAATTCGGCTATTGTATTGTTGCACCGTGAGTTTGACGCTAATGTTAAATCTGAAGAAAATTTTACTAGAAAGAATTCCACTTGGACCAGGCAGCAGACGGGACTCGAACCCTTCGCTATCCGCGCGAATGCACTGACCAATGCTACCGCGGCCCTGACGGCCGTGTCGAATTTTCTCTTGTATTTCTTAGGCTGCAAGGCAGCGCCATCTCTTCGCATTGTAGGCAACCACAATGTCAAATTAATACCTTTACGAGTATTAAACATTTGAAAGAAGAAATAGCAATTATAGTATTTATTTTTATTTTTAAGCATTCAATTGATGCCTGGCCCGCGCGGAAACTTTTCTAGTAAAATTTTCTTTAGATTTAACATTAGCGTCAAATTCACGGTGCAACAATACAATACCCGAATTGGTAATTATAGATAGATAGATAGATAACACTTTATTGTGCACACCATATTAAATATTACACACTAGGACAAAACTTAAATAGTGAACAATTGGCGGTCTTATCGCTATATAGCAATTTCTGCCAGACAACCATAGGATGGAGAGATGAAATTTAATAAAAGAGGGGGTGTGCTAATATAACAAATAAAAATAATTACAATAAAAGATTCAGGATTAAACATACTCATAAATATCTACTATGCAAGTATACAAATATTAAATGAATGAGTAGAGAGACATAAACATATATACACACATACAGTTGGAACAACACAAACAACTACTTTGAAAGGAAAAAATCTTTAATCTGCTTCTTAAATAAACCAATCGTCTGGGCACGTCTGATGTTAACGGGGAGAGAGTTCCAGAGGCGCACAGCTTGAACTAAAAAAGAATATTTATAAAAGGTGGTATTATGTGATGGAGTTTTAAGGCTCAAATTCTCTGATGAGCGTAAAGACTGAGAGTGGGAACAGTAAAGACTGAGAGTGGTAATGATCATAATTTATAAGTAATTAATTATAAGCAAATAGAAATCCATTAGAAAATCGATCAAATTAAAATAACCAGGAATCGTTAATATCAAATCCAAATCATTATGTATCTATTCATCACCGAAAATAATAGTGGCACCGTTTAAATTTTAGGACAAACTAAATTTAATCACACCACTTGCTGACCAATGAGACAGTTATTATATAACACACTGTCAGGAACAAAGGAATGTGGAATATTAAAGTGGCCTTGTAAAGTGCACACTACGTTTGACACCAAAAGAACTAAGTTGGTCTCCCAAGTTCATTCATATAATGCGATTCAATTAAGAAAGAAAGCCAATGACCTCTATCTGTCAAATGACGCTTGAAAAGTACGGTTTGCAAAAAATCTTGGAACTCTTTTTTAGCACTCAGCTAATTCTAGAATAAAAAAAACAAACATTATTTTGTAAACAAACATGACGACGATGACAACTCCGGTAGTTATGCAGAGCTGAGCGGAATTGAAGAGCTAGATTCCGATTAAAATTTTTACTCACAGTCATAAATGTTATTACAAATCAGTGTTTTTTTCTCTCAATCTTAGTAAATTAATCTTATTAATAAAATCTGATGTTTTTTCTCACTTAATTTTAGTAAATAAGTTTTATTTTAAAAAACCTGATGTTTTTTCGCACTTAGTAAATAAGTTTTATCGAAGAAAAACTTTTATTGCTCACTCTACCTATTTTGTTTCAATTGACAGCTTTGACATCACAAAATGGCGTCCAGTCGATCCTATTCTTAGTTGAATCGCATTATACTTCTCTATTGCAGTTGATCGAAGTTACTTTTCGTATATTAAGATGGGCAAAGCTTAGGCAATGAATCTCTTAGCTCTCGAGCGATTTGGATTTTAAAGAGAATGCATATTAAAATATTTCTGGGACATTGCTTAAAATATTTTTGAAGTTATACTTCTTTAGGCGCGTTATGAAAAAAATATGAGAGTGAAATTTTAAGATGCGCGCGCAACACTGTACCACAAAAGTACCATGAAGTTGGCCGCTAAACCGCACATTAACACCTATACTCTTAGTCGTTTCCTCGAGATTTTTTCCACTCGACGCAACCTCATTCGAGGAAATTCGTATGCTTAGACAACAAAAATATCCTTCACTTGAGATATTCCTCACTCGAGTGGAGATCGAGTCGAGGAATAAACCGTCAAACTCAAGGTAGGTCTCGACGTACCTTAAGGCTTCCTCGAGTGGTGTTTAAGGTGCTTTCAAGTTGTTTTTTTAGGTTTTGAATTTTAAGATTATTGACGAATTGGTGGATTTTATGGATTACGTATACGATGATGAACCATATAATCTGGCGTGACGGTATTTACGTGACGCCGCAAATCCTTTTGAGGTTTACGACAATGATTCGTTAAAAAGAAGATTTCGATCCCGTTCGATTTCGTTTAGAGAGATACATTCATATAAGTAATATTTCCTCTGCTAAGCATTACACTAAATTGTAATAACAGAGGACTACCTGTACCGCCTTTAATATAATTACCGGTGGCTTTGAAGTTTTACGTGACAGGATTATTTCAAGTAGGTATTTACCTATGTTTGTTGTGTGATATTTTACTTTACACATATAATATGTCTATGCTTTTATGCTTTATACCTTTGTTTGTACTCTCAGTGGAGGAATTCTCAAGTTAGTTCAAGATATTTACTAGAATATCATTTTCGAGGTTATTTGGAGGAACTCCTTAAGGAGCCCTCAAATGAATTAAAGTCGAGGAACGTTTGAGGACGCGACTAAGAATATGGGTGTAAGTCTCGAAAAAAAGCTACCAACAAAATAGAAATAGAATCTCTATTAGTCGCACATGTTGGGACGCTCGTCGCCTCTGATCTCTGTTTTCATATTTATAGTATTTATCCACAAGTTTCTAGTTTCTATATTCTTAACACGTGTTATAATGTTATACAAGAGCGAATTATATATGTGCTAATAAAATTTATTCAGTAGTGATTTAAATTGAATATATTGATTATTTCTGCTTTGACTATCCTTTTCCAATCCTTTTATTATCTTATTGTAATTAATTATTTGGATGTCATTAAAAACTATTTTTTATGATGCCAAAAAGAAGTATAACTTCTCACGCACGTACATAAGTATACGCACCCATATTTTTGAAGTGAAAACATGTTAAAAAATGTTAAACTCGAATCATTTAAATATTTTAAACACACAATAAAATTGGAGGTTGTTGACTTTCAATATAATGGACGAAACATAGTTATATTTTATTTTATCGTATTATAATAATAAGTCTCTATTTAGGACGCCCACGTGGCAGCTTTATTCGAAGTAAATGCATTTTTTTTACAATAGATGAAATGTGATTCATGTAAGTTGATTTTTCTGAGAGATAAACTTTTTTAATGTCATATAAATTGTCATGTTTGTGTACGATAGCGCAATAAATCAATATTGCATTCTACCACATAAATTATAGTACTTTTATACTGATAATTAAAGTAATTCGTGCAAAATTATTCCCTAACCATTCCAAAATATCAAAAATGCACAACGTTAATATTCATATTTTCACTTCTGCCGGCACTCCCGGAGTGCAACCCGTCGTTTTTTTATTAAACCATCTCTGTCCTCTACTGAGAAGACGAAAAACTGCGTCACAGTTTGTTTAAAAGTCCACAGAGAGTGACCTTTTTGTGAAAACGAGCAATGGCTATAATTGTTTTATCATCTCTGCGTGTGGCAAAAACACATTGACGTGTAAATAAATTCACACGTATACTGGAGCGTTAGAGCAACACGAAAAGGAGTAGAGTAATGAAATCACTATGCCATTTTTTACAGGGGGAATATGCACACAAAAGCAGATTTACGTACATGCTTAAATAACAAACCTATAATGACAACACTCACATTTAAACAATGACAAAATATACTGCCAATGACGATACATTACAGGCTCAATTTGTATGCCCGATTCGACAGAGGCTGAAAGCTTTGTACTCCCTACCTGTATTCCTAGCACGAACCTATATCGAATTCGTATCGTTTGCGAGTCCGAAATGTCATTGTTAAATGATTTTTAGTTCTCTTTACGTACTTTGTGCCGCTGATGTTCAAATTTTCATACAAAATTTGACATTGACGTAATGGTTTGTGCTAAGGGTACTGGGGCGTCGGCGTCGGTCGTGTTGCTCTATGATTGGAGCCAAACAATTACAATTATTTTCTTGAGCCTAGTAATGATAAAAGTCCTATGAATGAGAATAGTCGCTGCTTTAGATTTAGTTAGACCGACTTATGTCTATAATACATGCTGAACTGTGGTGTCGATTCTGGCATGATTCTTAAAACTTAAAACTAAATTCAACAACAGTCTCTCCTCTCATTCTGTATAGAGAGAGACAAGGATACACAGCTGTCTTAAATTTTTGGTTTAGATAGTCATGCCAGAATCGACACCATTGTATTTATCTTAAATCAACTTCAAGTTTTAATCATTGAGTCATTAAGAAGATACGTAAAAAAATATTTTTTAGCATGTAACTGCTGGATGTTTAAATGTAAGGAAAATTTTGAAAAAGAAAAATGAACGAAAAAATCCTCTCGGTCCACTCTTCGGATGGGATTCGAACCTGGAGCTCTATTTTTGAATCACTCGTCTGACATAGTATCGTCGAATGCGACATA